CGAGTTGGGGAGCCCTTCCTGCTCTCCCGGGCACTAAGCATAGAATCTCCTTTACGGGGCTGCACCACAGTGGTTGTCCCGGGCATCATGTGCTCTGCTTGGGGCCTGCTCTACGTGTGTCCCTGGCGCCCCCTGTTTTCTACAAATAAGCACACGGAGGCTCGGGGAGGTTATCAGCACAGCAGTTCCTGGACGAAAGCCCTGTGCTTCCGTGCCCGCTCCAGGGCCGGGCTCTTCGGATGAGAAATGTGTACAAGTAGGAAGCACGGGCCACCCACACCCGGAAGGAGCCAGCGCCCGTGGCCACCCACTCTTCCAACACTGAAGTAATCAGGGCCATGAGCCCCAAAGGGTTGCCCACCCAAAACTAAACTCAACCGTCCAGGGAAAGGTCAGTACAGCTTTCTGGTTTTCTAAATAACTCACCTATTCAGCACTTGCGATGGAATCAGGTTGAAGTCGGGCCCCAAAGAGCTCAAGTGCCAGAAGGTTCTTTGGGCTCGACCAGGCTGCCTGGCTTCTGTCCAGAGCAGGATGGGTGCTCTGCTTCAATGCTTCGGCTCTGTTTGGGGGCTGACCAGTGAACGGCACCCCTGACATTTAAACCTATTGTTTTGGCCGTGCTGCGCAGCCTGCGGGATCTCAGCTCCCCGACCAGGGATCGAACCTGTGCTCCCTGCAATGGAAGTGCTGAGTCCTAACCACTGGACTGCCAGGGAGTTCCCTAAACCCATTTCTTATGTCCCCAAGATACCCACACACACACTCGGAGCCCTGTAAGTGGTCCAGATGTCATGGCTTCCCCATCGCTGTGCCTAATGACTCGGGCCACCACCTTCTCCACATGTGACTGTCACTAAGTCCCAGAGATCCCACCTCTAAGACATCTGGAATCCTCCTCCTCTCCATATCCCGCCCATGCCTGCTTTGACAGCTCTCCCGAGGGGTTTTCTTGACAGCCTGCCTCTTTTGAAGAGTGCACACCCCGCCTGCCTCTGGGTCCCTTCCTTCTAACAAATAAGCAAAGAATCATGTTAAGTGTCTCATTTAAAGTTCTCTTTGGCTGAAAGACAAATTCTTTTAGGTGCCCACTGCCTATGGCAGGAATATCAGGGTCCTGTGGCTGCTACAGTAAATGACCACAACCTTGGTGGCTTAAAACAAGACACATTTATTATCTTACAGTCCTGGAGGTCAGAAGTCCAAAGTTAGTCTTACCAGGCTAAAATCAAGGTGCCGGTGGGTCTGCGGTCCTCCTGGAGGTGCTAGGAGAGAATCTGTTTCCCTGCCTTTTCTGGCTTCTACAGGCTGCCTGCATTCTTTGGCTCACGGCCACGTCCTCCATCTTCAAAGATGTCAATGGCATCACTGCTTATAGTACTGCTGCATCTCCTTCTCTGCCCCTCCTGCCTCCCTCTGATAAGGACCCTTGTGATGACACTGGTCTCATACAGATAATCCAGGGTCACCTGCCCACCTCCAGATCCTTAATCCCATGTGCAAAGTCCCTCTTGCCAGGTCAGGGAACACCTTCACAGGTCCAGGAGACCAGGACATGGACCGCTTGTGGGGCAGTTATTCTGCCCACCACAGCAAGACCAACCTACTTTTTCTGAAAAGGGCCCCAGGGTAAATATTTTAGGCTTTGTGGGCCATCTGATCTCTGTTGCCAAGATTGGCTACACAATTTATAGAGCCTGGTGCAAGATAAAAACATGGGGCTCCTCATTCATAGATTAAGAATTTCAGAACAGTGACAGCAGAAGTGCAAGGCCCTGTGTCACTGCATCGTTTACGTGGCCAGAAAGCGGGCCCTGCCTGAGCAAGTCCACCTCTGCTCCTGCGGCCTGAAAGCAGCCACCAGCAACACATGGACGACAGGTGCGGCCGTGTTACCATCAAACTTGATGGATGCTGAAACTGCACGTCATGTAATTTTCCCATGTCACAAAATGCTATTCTTCTTTTGTTTTTTTCCAGCCATTTAAAAATGTAGGGACTTCCCGGGTGACACAGTGGTTAAGAATCCGCCTGCCAATGCAGGGGACACGGGTTTGATCCCTGGTCAGGGAAGATCCCACATGCCGCAGAGCAACTAAGCCCGTGCACCACAACTACTGAGCCTGCGCTCTAGAGCCCGTGAGCCACAACTACTCAGCCCTCACGCCACAACTACTGAAGCCTGCACGCCTAGAGCCCGTGCTCTGCAACAAGAGAAGCCACTGCAATGAGAAACACGCCCACCACAACAAAGAGTAGCCCCCGCTCTGCGCATCTAGAGAAAGCCTGGGTGCGGCAACAAAGACCCAACACAGCCAAAAATAAATAAATAAAATAAACAAATTTATTAAAAAATAAAAAAATGTAAAACTCGTTTGTAGCTCACAGGCGGTACAAAAGAAGAGCCATGGGTGGAATCGGGCTGTAGTCTGCCGGCTCCTGGTCTGATGGATAAAATCCCACCTTCCCTGCCTGACTCTCTAGGGCCCTTTGCAGCTGGAGACAGACACCTCTCCAGTCCCATCTCACCATCCTCTTTCCTCATGACCTGCATTTGGCGTGTCCCACCGCTCCCTGCTCCTGAACCACGCTCGGGAACAAAAGCTGTGCCTTTGCTCTGGCTGGTCCCTCTATCTGGAAGCCCCACTTCCCACATCCTCTGGCTGGTAGACCCTTGTTCCTGCTGTCCTCTGGCCCAGACGCTGCCCTCATGAGAGGTGGTGCTCTGTGCCTGGCCCTCGTCACACTAACTGGGTTTATGTGTCTACACGTCCTCTTCTCCCTTGCAGCAGTGACGTCCTCGAGAGCAGGAACCCAAGCTGAGTCATCTTTCTGTCTCCTGATCTCACGGACCCTCAGAGCATGTGCTTAGAGAGATAACAAGAATAACCTGGGGACTTCCTTGGAAGTCCAGTGGTTAGGACTCAGCACTCAGTGCTTTTACTGCCAAGGGCTGGAATTCGTTCCCTGGTTGGGGAACTAGGATCCCATGAGCTACGCAGTGCGGCAAAAGAAAAAAAAAAAAAAAAAAGATTGGATAAACTAATAAATGGGGGGAAGAAGAGGTAAGTCTTTCATGCAGAAATTCCACGTAACTTAAGTAGATATCCACCCTTGAGAAGGGGAACAGACATCTCCACTCTCCGTGTGGGCTGCACAAAGCGACTACCTTCCAAAGGAAAGGGGGGAAAAGTGACTTTATAGTGGAGAAACCTGAGAAATACTAACTCTGCCAGGTGATGAAAGCCAATATCAACATGCATAAATAAAGCTGATAGTATGTATCCTTGATATGATGTAATAAGGATGGCACTTTACCTCTTTGGTCTTCCTCCCCCAAACCCATCATCCCAGTATTACCACGGAAAAATACCAGAAAAATGCCAATAGAGGGACATCCTACCAAATATTTTTTTTTGCGGTACGCGGGCCTCTCCCGTTGCGGAGCACAGGCTCCGGATGCGCAGGCTCAGCAGCCATGGCTCACAGGCCCAGCCGCTCCGCGGCATGTGGGATCTTCCCGGACCGGGGCACGAACCCGTGTCCGCTGCATCGGCAGGCGGACTCTCAACCACTGCACCACCAGGGAAGCCCCCTACCAAATATTTGACCAGCCCTTCTCAGAACCATCAACACCATCAAAAACAAGGAAAGTTGGAGAACCTGCCAAAGCCAAGAGGAGCCTAAAGAGACAGGACAACTAAGAGAACAGATTTTGGGACTTCCCTGGTGGTCCAGCAGTTAAGACTCTGCACTCCCAATGCAGGCGGTCCGGGTTCGATCCCTGGTCAGGGAGCTAGATCCTGCATGCTGCAAGCTGCAATGAAGATGCCGTGTGCCGCCTCAGACCCAGTGCAGCCAGATAAATAAATTTTTTTTTTTTAAAGGGATTTTTTTTTTTTTTGGCCGCACCATGCGGTATGTGGGGTTTTAGTTCCCCGACCAGGGATCGAACCCATGCCCACTGCCCAGATTCTTAACCACTGGACCTCCAGGGAAGTCCCAAGAATAGATCTTAAAAAGTTCTCATCACAAAGGAAAAAAAAATTGTAACTATGTGTGGTGATGGAGGTTAATCATTAACCAAACTTATTGTGATCATTTTGCAATATATACATGTATCAAATCATTATGTTGTATACATAAAACTAATGCAATATTGTATGTCAATTATATCTCTTTTTAGAGAGAGAAGACAACTAAATGTAATGTGGTATCCTAGATGAGATTCTGGAAGAGAAAAAGGACATTAGGTAAAACAAAGGAAATCTAAACAAACATGAACTGTGGTTGACAATAATGTATCGATATTGGTTCATTAAGTGTAACAAATGTATCATACTAATGAAAGATGTTACAAACGGTATGGGGAAAATGGCAACCCTGTATCTTCTATGCAACATTTCTGCAAATCTGAAATTCTTCTAAGAAACAAAGTCTATTAATGATAGCAAGGATAAAGCACAGATGAATGAATGAAAGACTACATTATTCATCACGGTGACAGTGACTATAGCTCCCCTCTCACAGAGCTATTGTAAGGACTCCATAGAACCCACATAAAGCATTCAGCACACAGTACAAGCTCAACTCAGAGCACTGGACTTGTCGACATTCTACTAAATCTATGCCATCCACTCTGGGAGCCACGAGCTCTAGGTGACCAAATTTAAATTAAATAAAAATTAAGTACATTAAAAACTCAGTTCTTCAGTGCCACCAGCCACATGTCAAGGGCCGAAAAGCCACATGGAGCTAATGGCTATTAAATTAGGCAGTGCTGATAAAAAAAAAAAACCCAACATGCCCATCATTACAGAAAGTTCTATTGGACGCACACTGCACAAAACCATAAATGGCATGATTATTGGTTCAGTGTTCTTGACTCCTTGCGGTCCTTCTGCAAATCCTATCTTCTCAACCTTCCTGACAGCCCTCTTTCAAAGTGCAACCTCCACACCCCACCCTTGCCCTATGTCCAATTTACTTTTCAGTCTTACCACTTTTCACCACTTGGTGTGGAATCCACTTGATTTCTTTCCTGCCTCCCCATCTAGCTCTGCATGGTCCGATGCGGTAGCTGCTATCAGTTGTGGCTGTTGAGCCCTTGAAACGTAGCCAGTCTAACTTCAGATGGGCTGCGAGTGTAAAAGACATACCAGATTTCAAAGGCATGAAAAGAAAAAAGAATGTAAAAAGATCTCATACCTTTTTATATTGGTTACACGCTGAAATAACATTTTGGACATAAATTGGATTAAATAAAACACATGATTAAAATTAACATCACTTGTTTCTCTCTCTCTCTTTCTCTCTTTTTTTTATCCTTTAGTATGGCTACGAGAAATTTTAAATTATGCGCGTGGGTAACATTTGTGGTTCGCTTACAGTTCTCATGGACAGCGCCAGTCTAGAATGTCAGCCAAATAGAGGCAGGTATTTTTGTCTGTTCACTGTCCATACAGTGACTGGCACATAGTAGGCGCTCAATTAAATTTTAATGAATGGATGTTAGGCAGAGCCTCTGGAAACCCGCTAGTTCTAATAATCAACACTGATGGTACACTGATCACGTCCCAGGCCCCACTTCCTCACTACACCTGATAAGGAAACTGAGGCCCGGCGACGTGACGTCAGCCCATGCCCAACGGCACGTAGTGCGGAAACGTCGGGGCCGGGATTCGAACCCGGGTTCTGTCCCCAGAGCACTGGCGTGCTTACCGTTCCTACCTCGCAGGGTGGTGACGGCGGCCGCGGCGGCGGCGGGACAGACAGGCGCGAGACCCACAGCATGCCCTCGACAAGGGGCATGGCTCTTCGGCCACCGCCATCCATCGGCCTCCGTGGGCCAGGCCCCAGTCGGCCCCCTCCGCGGCCATCGCTGGCCACCCGCGTCTCTGCCTGCAGCCGAGCCCTCCTCAGGCGGCGCCAGACGGAAGTCCCGCCTCCGCCGCGCGCCCCGGTTCGCCGCGACAGCAACGCGGGCCAATGAGGAGCGCGCCGTGGCGGACGCCGGCCAATGGGCGCGCGCGCCGGGGGGGCGTGTCCGGGCCGTGGGCCGGAGCGGGTCGTGCGCGCTGAGGAGGAGCCGCCGCTGCCGTCGCCGTCGCCG